AGATTCAGACATTTAACTTTTTTATATTTAAAATGATTGTAGCTCCTGAACCACCTATATCATTTTAAATATAAAGATGACTAAATATTTGGTAGCCCTAAAAAGCAGAATTCATAGATGTACAGTAGACTCTTGCACAGAGGAATGCCAGATTACTGAGAGATAAAAGTCATCAGTTTAATTCTTTTTTAAATTTAATGTCACATGTTTATTGTCTGTAGTAAACATTTAACATTAAACGTTTCTATTTTAAAAACAAACAAGAGAAGTGTTTGTATACAGTAAAAAAAATTTTTAAATGAAATCCAGCACAATTTGAATGTTGCATCTTTTACTCAGTATAGTCACTCTGAAAAATGTCATGGAATGAAGATGGTCATTGATGGCATGCTTTGTAATGCATTCACTTAACAAGTGTTGTATTGGTATTGCATGTGTCTGATTGTTGCGTTATGTACTGCAGGAAAATGTTGGCAGTATTTTAGTGCTAGCAGTGTCAGAAATCTTCATTCTCTTTGCCTCTGTGGTGTCTTCTTCCTCATCACTTTCATCCTGTACATTTTTGATGATTGTTGATTGCATGTTGATTGTTTTCCATTACTTCAGTATAGCTTTGGTAGAATTTTTTTTCATATTCATCCAATAAGGAGGTAAGAATTGCATGTAGATAGCAATACTGGGACTTGATGTAGTGATCTAAAATATAGTCTTTAGATCACTACATCAAGTCTGCCACTTTCCACATTTCTAAATCAAAACTGAAACTCATTCACATGTGAAGTTTCAGATTCAATAAGTAGCATCACACTAGATGGCCATCCACACATGACACTCTCCATTTAGATTATAACTGGAGGGTGCTGAATTGAGAGACTGGATTATCAAGGGCCAGATTAGCAAAAGTCTACCTCTGTATAACATGACACTTCTATAGTACGGATTCACTCTAACATGGTTTGAGAATTGGTAAAACCCTCATACAACATGAAATGTAATAAAAACTATTAAAAGCAAACTTTATCTAATTTGAAATTAGGGAAATCCCTGTACAACAGTTCAATAAATGTGATAAAGCTTTTAAGTGTGAAAGATACCTCATTTGACATTTTTCATTCGAGCGCATACATACTATCAGATTTTTCTGCATAATTTTCATGAACTATTAGTATGGTACTTAAGTATGTAAATTTTCTTTTTCTGCTTTCTGTCGCTATGTGTGGTCCTTCTCGAAACTTGTTTCAGTGTTGCCAGATCTCGACGCTTCTGCTTTTGGTGTTGCCAGATGTTTTTTCCTTATTCCATACTTGCTTTATTCCATCACTGGTTTTTAGGCATTGAACCATGCCTCCAACCCTTGGGACAATCCACACCTTTACAAGTATACTTTAAGACTTTAATTGTGTCTCTTTTTTGTCTACGTAGATTAAAGTAGCCAAAAAAGTACTGTAGTACTGTACTCAACCTTTTTTAAAGAAATAATAATTAATACATAATTATTTACTTTTATGAATCTGTAGCTCTAAGCTATGTCTGGCAAAAATAAAAAAATGTCTCTTAAAAGACATTTCATCTCCATACAAGCAATTTTTCAAGCAAAATTACAAATTTTAGATTGGCTTAAAAAGGACAAAAAGATATCATATGTTGCCAAATTGTTGGATTTAAATGAAACAACAATATGGACTATAAGGAAAAATGAACAGAAAATTAAAGATTCTGTTATTGCAGTCTGTTCTATCTCCTCAAACATGACATCTCATCCTAGGGCAGCAATAATTGAGCAGATGGAAAAAGTCCTTAGCATCTGGATTGAAGACTGTTCAAAAAAGCAGATTCCACTGAGCACCAATATTATTAAACATGAAGCCTTGAAAATTTACGACTACTTAAAGGAAAATGGAGAAACTGTTACTAATCCAGATTTTGTAACCAGGAAAGGGTGGTTTGATTGTATGAGAAAATGCTTATCACTACAAAAACTAAAAATAGAGGGTGAAAGTGCATCAGCCAATAAAGAAGCTGCCAAAATTTATTCAATGGAATTAAAAAGAATTATTGAAGAGGGTGGATATTCAACACACCAGGTTTTTAATGCTGATGAGACTGCTCATTGGTGGAAAAAATGTCAAAGAGGACATATATTTCTAAAGACAAAAAAGTTGCACTAGGTTTCAAGGTATCAAAAGACCGTGTAACATTACTTATGTGCAGTAATGCTTTGGGTGATTACATGGTAAAACCAATGCTGGTTTATAAATCTCTCAATTCTCGTGCAATGAAAAACCTAAATAAGAGTAATTTACTGGTATACTGGGCAGCAAATAAAAAAGCTTGGGTGACTACTGAATTATTTAAGAAATGGTTTTTAAACTGTTTTGTACCAAGTGTGGAAAACTACTTAAAACAGAAAAATTTAGATTTTAAAGTTCTACTTATATTGGATAATGCACCCATCCATTCGCAAGATTTAAATCACCCAAATATCAAAATAATTTTTTTATTTCCAAATTCAACTGCTTTACTTCAACCATTAGATCAGGGAATTGTAGCTACATTTAAAACCAATTACATAAGGCGATCATTACAATGGGTTTGAAATAAAACTGATGATGAATCTATGGACGTCAAGGAGGCATGGAAACTCTTCACAGTTTTGGACTGCATTAATCTAATAAACTAATCCATCAGAGAAATAAAACTGACGACATTAAATGGTTGTTGGAAAAAAATATGGCTGGAATTAATTTAAAGTAAAAATTTGACTGAGACAGCAGAAAACAGAATGGATGCGGTAGTAGAAATTGATAAGTCTCTAGGAGGAGAAGGTTTTGTTGATATGACTGCACAAGATATCCAAGAATTACTGGTGGAAGAAGAAATTGATGAAGCAGATTTGGTAGAAATGATATCTGGAATCCATGATAACTCAGGATGATAGCACAGGTGAAGACAAAGAAGTTAAAAAGTTTACTCTACAAAGCATAAAGAAAGGCCTAGACTTAGCCGAACAGTTAGTCATATTTCGTAAATGAAAATCCTTCAAATGAAAGGAGCACAAAATTTAAAAGAGAACTTCATAAGTGCTTAGCACCATATAAGGAAATTTATAAAGAACTTTTAACTAAAAGCAAGCGATCTAAAATAACATATTTTTTGCAAAAGGTAGAGCATGGATCTGAAGATAATGCAGAAAAATGCTCAGAGATAAGAATATCTTGCCAAAAAGAAAACGCCCTTGGTTAATAGTGCTTAGTGATGACAAAGAAAACATTGTTTGATTTATATTAATACATATCACTTCTTAAGAAAATTTTAATAAAGATATTTATCTTAATTATGAAAATAAAATAGCATGTTTTTTAATTTTTGGAACCTAACCCCCCTTTTTCATACTAGTTCTTTGTTTTGTATAACATGGATTTGCATAAGATGGTAATTTTTTGGAACATAACTCCCATGTTATATGGGGACTGTATCTCTATACCTCTATCTCTATAAATTTGAATTTATGAAAATACAGTAAGACCTTAATGCTGCCTCAATTAATGCTGATTCGATATAATGTGATCTGCTCAAGGCCTAAAAAAAGCTCAAAATTTATGCTGATTCAAATTATCATGGCATTTCATTGATTGGTATATAATATGATTATTCCCAAACACGAATCAATCAGCAAAAAGTGGCAATTTGTCATAGCACCATACTTTCCTTAAATCTATGTTTGTTTGGTGACGTTTTGAAAATAATATAACATTGTGGATGCCACAGGCAATATCGACTTCACTTGGCAAGAATTAACTGATATGCATGGCCGAAGTGTGGAAGAAGTTATGGCTGAAGGTATCCAAAAATTCTCAATGAGAAGAGCCTATCACTGTATCGTTAAGTTGACCAATTGTCTATGTCAGTGTTTTTCAACCTGTGGGTCGCGACTCCCAGGTGGGCCGCAAAGCCATACTCGGGGGGTCGCGGATAAAAGAAGAAGACAAGTGTTTGTAGGTCCTACACTACAATAAAAAAACTACAATCTCAGTGAGAAGGCTGTGCCTGTTTATTTAACAGTACAATTAGTTTTTTGATTGATATCTAAATCTCAACAGAAAGAAAATTAAATGCATAGTTTTTAAAATCACTAACATAGTTTTAATATGGCCATGGGGGTCGTCAAAATTTTTTAACTTGTAAAGGGGTCACGTATTCAAGAAGGTTGAAAAACAATGGTCTACTTAATTGATATAGCAGGACTAGTAAAATGTAGACAAGCAGGATATTGAGGAGTTACTGCAGGTTTCTGGTGAGAGCCTTACCAACGATGACCTTCGAGAACTGGCAGAACAAGGAATTCTTATAGAACTGGAAAATAATGATTCTGAAAACAAAGAACCCAAAGAATTTCTCTACAGATATCCTTAGTAGTAAAAGTTTGATAACAATAACTGAAATCATTGATCAAATTGTAGTGAATGATCCAGATTTTGAAAGGAGTGCAAAAGCAAGACCAGGCATTTTCGATACGATGTCCTGCTTCCAACACTTGCTTAAGGAAAGAAAAAGTGACAAATGAAACTACATGACTTTATTGCAAAAGACGAATTTTAGAAGAGCCAGGACCTTCATCACAAAAAACAAACTTTACATTTCTGTCTGCATATGTTTAGGTGTTATTTAACATATATTATTATTCAAATTAATATAAAAATAACTTAAAATTAAAATCTGTTTATTTTTGGTTGTGTGTTCACCTTTCCCTATTTACTCTGTGTTAAAATGACCTCGTTTAACACTGTTTTGTTCAGCGCTTTGTCATCTAGGAATGTATCCCCCCGCATTAAGCGGGGTATTACTGTACTTGCATATTTGAAAAAAAATTGTATCTAAATTTTAATGTCTACATTTTATTATTTTTTCAATAATCTTTCATAAGATTACTTTATTATTTTTTAGCTATTTTTTTAAATTTCAAAATCTGATATTATATTTTAATTATCCAAATTTTATAGGTGATTTTGATGGAACTGTGGGCAGAGAAAACAGCCATGGTGTCGACTTGAATCGAAATTTTCCAGATCAGTTTCATTTAACTTTAATTAATAAAAAACAGGAACCTGAAACTGTAGCAGTTATGACATGGATTAAAAGCTATCCTTTTGTGTTGTCAGCAAATTTGCATGGTGGTTCATTAGTGGCAAATTATCCTTATGATGACAATCCAACAAATACAGATAAAGTTTATAGTAAAAGTCCTGATGATAAAGTTTTTATAGAACTTGCATCTGCATTTTCAAATGTAAGTATTAAATAAATATTTATTTTGACAAATTAACATCAACTAAATATAAATTTCTTTATACTTATATCTCATTTAAATTATCTGTGAAATTTATTGACAGCATATTGTAATTTGATTTTGTCTTGTATTTTTTAGATTTTTATTTCCCCTAAAGTAATTCTTTGCATACTTTTTGAATTATGCATACATAATTATCCTTACTTTCCATTATCAAGATTCTGTGATTAATTAAAATTAATATAAATAATGTATATATAAGATGTGAAATGAAACCAAACCTGCAATAAAATGGAAGCTTATAAGACAATTAATTTGACAAAAACAGCTCAAAAAATAACAAAATGTTTAACTCGATACCAAAGTAATATTTGCAATAGGCTCACCAGTGGCCAAGCAGTCTTTGTACCCTGAACACTGGGAGTTTGGTTGCGGGTTCATGCCTCGCTTCGACGGGCTGGCCACACAGAGTTTTCCAAATTTTCTCCACATTTGTAATGCCTAAATAGGGCCAGTATATAGTTTCTCTTAAAAGACCTCCTGGAAGACATCCCCCTAGGCAGCTTGTCCAAGTGTTGCATTGCCATAACTTAAACAAACAATATTTGCAATATTTACCAGATGGATAATTCAGTAAATTTTAATTAATAATAATTAAAAAAGCAGAAGTACAATTTTAATAATTTTTTTATTAAAAATTTAATAACACATATTTACATACAGACTGCATTTCATTGAATAATTTGAAGTTTTAATGCATTAAGTACTCCTGTGATCATAAAGTATTGGCGGCCAGGAATGGTTCAATAAAATGCAAGATTTGAATTTATTCATAAAAATTTATTTTGTATCCTTCAAAATAATCTCCTCCCATTGCAATGCACTTATTCCAATGCTTTTTTAATCCTCAAAACATACTTTAAAGTTGTTTTCATGAAATCCCTTCAGGACTTGCAGTGAATTTTGTTTTATGGCATTAAATGACTCAAAATTATGATCATAAAGTGGAAATTTTAGTTGAGGAAACAGGAAAAAGTTACATGGTGTCATATCAGGTGAATGTGGAGCTTGCATAATTGTATTTGTTGAATTTTTTATCAAACCTTTACGAAGAAAAAACAGCATTGTGAGCAGGTGTATTATTGAGGTGCAAAATCTATGAGTTTTCTCATCACAAATCAGGTTATTTTAGGCACATTGCTTTATGCAAATGACACAAAATGCTCAAATAATAATCTTTGTTGACAGTTTGTCCAGTCAGAAGAAATTTGTGATGCACAACATTGTGACAATTGAAGAAAATAGTCAACACAACCTTGATTTTTGACTGACTGACATGGTTTTTTCAGTCTTCAGCTTTGCTTCATCTTTTGAGTGCCATTCACTTGATTGTTGGATTGTTTCAGTGTCAAAAGCATAGATTCATGTTTCATCACCTATAATGATGCATTTTAAGAATGATTTGCCTCAAGAAAGTATTTCCCTGGCCATTTGAATACGTTGTTTTTCGAAATAATTCTACATTTTTGGGACAACTCAGGAAGCGATGGATTGCAAACCCAAATGATCTTTTAAAATTGCTTGACAAATTATGGGTGATGAAACATGAATCCAAATGATATTGGAAGATGTTCGATAACGTCCCTAATTGTTAAATGACAATCATTGAACACCAGATCTTCGACTTGAGCAAAGTGTTGTTTTTCAGTTGAAGTGGAAAGTCTACCAGATTATAATTCATCTTCAATACATTCTCTGCCTTCCTTGTACTACTCAAAAACTCTTGTTTTTGATAGACTATTGCCACCAAAGGCTTTTGCAAAACATTTCCAACATTTTTGTAGTAGTAATTCTATTGCAAAAACAAAATTTAATGCACATTATTTGCTCAATCACACAACATTTTGAAAAATTGATGGCATAAAAGTTCTTTACACAGAAAACAAGTGTTTATGTTTTTGCTTGCAATATTTGCAAACAAAAACAGATGATGACAGAGTGATTTAAGCTTGATGTCAATGAAAATCATACCAAATGATGAAAAAACAACAACACCCTCTTGCATGCATGTGTGAGACTAATCGGGGGTAGGATGTTTACGAGGATGTCCCTCTCCTACCACTTACTCGACTCAAGACCTTGAGGTCTGGTCTCGCTTGTCTAAAGGATGGGAAAAAAGGGTTAGGAGAAAGGAACGTTAGATTCTTTCACCTGTCAGGATCTGACACCAATCTATCAATTTATCGCGGATAGATACGCGGATGGATGGGGAATTATCACGAGCGATCTCGTCGAGGACTTCGGGTTCAGTATGGAGTGGAAAATGTCGGAAGAAACGCACACCAATCCAAGTTCGTTAACAAAATACCTGTTTATTCCGTACATTTATACATAGTTAATAATTGGAATACAAATCCCTCTCGGGTTCAATTCGTATAGTTCATAAAGTAAGGCAAAGTATAAAATAGTCGCGACCCTACCCGCGAGGTTCGAATATTCGAGAGAGAGCTTACACATCATCGCGTGTAGGATAAATACCTCTAGTTATACAGGATGGTGATTTCAGGACGATCTTGGAGTCCGAATCCCAGGCTCGTTAAAATAGTTCGTGAGTCGACGTAAGTCAGCAAATCGTAGAATAGTTCTATCGAGGATGGAGGAGAGGCAGGTAATCCACACACACACACACAGTACAGAACAATAACCTTTTTCCCCCTGTGTCGTCATCGCACTTGTCTTTTATATGGGGGCTCTGTTTTCGAGATGTCCCCCATGTACGTCACAGGTGATGATCTTCTTTGACCAATGATGGGCGAAGTGACAAACTTATGACACAACAGTTAACTCATCTTCTACAGGGAAGTATTGTCGTGGGAACGGAGTTTTTATGAGCGATTTTTATGAGAAAATTTGTCGGTTGTTTTTCCCTTTTTGTGTTAACCCTAACTTTTAATCTAATGAATAAAAATATTCGAATCTTAAATCCGGGCCCTCACACATGCAGTTTTAAATGAACCATTCTCAATACTTTTTGATCACAGTAGTATGCTTATATATGTGTATTTGTGAAGATATTGTTAGACTAGATGTTGCTTGTCAGAGAGATTAGTAAAAACAAGTTAGACTCATGTAACTGGTTATATAACAAAGAAACAAAGAATACATAAAGATTACACTGTCTTGACTCATGGAAGGTCAGCGCTGAAAAGGGGAGAGTGAAACAAGGTCACCGTCTCTAACGGCTCCCCGAGGGGTCAACAGCACTACCTACCTTTTATTACATAACGGAAGAACATTTACAAAACATCGTGACACAATGCATTGTACGTAACGATGTCGTATAACATTTGACAATAATTTTGATTATTGATTCCAACAGATATATCTGTTCTAACTTTTATATTCATTCACTAGTGACTTCATTTTATATTGTAAAGTTTTGTACTTGTTCTTTTGTTTTAAATATTAACAGAACTGCACTCCTGGTGACAAACAGTTCATTTGAAAATACTGTTATGTTTATTGCATGGTAGCTACATCCACAGTGAGTGCTCAGGTACTGTTCCCATGATGCCTCAGCACTGATTGCAATCTGGTGGACTCACCAATAATATTTTACATTTCAAATACAATACATATTACATCTCAAATACAATACATATTACAAATACTACAATATGAAGTTTATTTTATAATATACAGGTTACCCCCATATAACATGGCACTTCTATAGCATGGGTTCACTCTAACACGGTTTGGGAATTGGGTAAAATCATTGTACAACATAAAATGTAATAAAGGGTGCGTTCTTTTATACCTCCACATAACTCCACGAGAGCAATCTAATTGTTTTCATGGCTACTTTGAATGCTCTTTCAACAAATAATCTGTTGAATGGTTAAATTATACAATTTGGACCTGTTTTTGTCTCTAAAAGCTCATTTTAGATTTATAGATTTCTCCATACGATACTATTGATAGTGTGGGCGCCACCATCTTTCTTTCATCATCGTTGCTAAATGCCTACAAACAGCAGTGCACTCCCGTTGCAGAGCGACCGCTATTAACGAACGCACCCACAAACTGTTACCAGTTGATGATGCTCATGCTGAGATCATCATATAAAATGAATAATCCTCTGGTAAAATATTTACTTAAATAATAAATAAGTATTTTACCTATGAAAAAAATGAATAATAAATCTGATTTAAATAAGGATTTAACAGCATGTTTTTTAATTTTTGGAATCTAACCCCTTTTTTTGCACTAGTTCTTTGTTTCGTATAACATGGATTCGCATAACATGGCAATTTTTTGGAACGTAACTCCCGTGTTATATGGGGGTTACCTGTACTCCATAAAAGCATATTTTTCTGTTTATTAATAATTAAATGAATCAAATAAGATTTTTAAAGTGTTTTTGGTTTTAATTTATCCCATTTGATTTCAATTTATTAAAGTAAATTTAACCTTAGAATTATTTCAGAATAAAAAGCCAGTATTTTAAGTTTATTTAAAATTATTAAAATATTGCAACAATTTGTAAATTCTAAATAATATAAAAAATGATATCTTTCTGAAAAAATTAAAAATATCTTTTGTGTAATGATATAATTTTAGAATCATCTTACAATGCATCTTGGAAAATCTTGTAGTCAATATGGATTATTGGGAGAAAGGTTTGAAAATGGAATTACGAATGGAGCTGCATGGTATAGTGTTCCAGGTATGATATTTATTTGTTAAAAGATATGAAAAAAATTAATTTTTTATTCTTTGGAAAATTAATCATATAATTAATTAATTTCCATAGAATAGTTGTGTTTTTTGTTACTCCAGGATCCTCCTCTACTACCGTTTGTTGTTGTTGTCAATGATTTTTTACAATACATATAATGTTTTAATGATATTCATTTTGGACTCTATGCCCTTTTTCAGTCCTCATCAGGGGCATAGAGTCCAAATGAATATTTGTTCTAAATTATAAAAAGTAAATTTACTTTATTGATCAAAAAGAAGCATTCCTGTGTGATTTATTCCCAATAGCAACTTTATGCTAATTCTGAAGGACATACAACTAATTGTGAGAACAGCAAGCAATCAAGTACTAAAAATTTCTTAATTATGCTTAGTCCTGCAGCAGTCATTGGTTCTTTACATGTCACATACCCTTCAGCTGATAGAAAGATTGCAAAACTACAGTTACAGATTTAGCATTACAGTAATAATATTTCACGAATAGTGCTTTATCTGATAATGATAACATGACTACTTGGCTCTTCTTTTTCTTTCCCAAAGGTTCATTAAACTGCTTAGCCATTGTGCTTGCAGTTCTTTTACAGCAGACACCTATGTAATGTCATTTGTGGCAAAGTGCTACCTAGTGGACATAATTGGAAATAATTTTGACATTCTTTTAGAAAAAACCCTCATAATTCTGTGCATTTCAATGCTAATCCTATTACTATTAGTGATGTGCCGGGTATCCGTATCCGTTACTTTTTAGCGGATCTTTAACAGATCTTTTATCTTAATGAATTTCATTACTTATATGAAATTTTAAACATAAGTAGCAATAGCACATTCGTCATTTACTATCGTAAAATATTTCCATATTACACTACTAAATTTTTTTGTCGACATTGTTTTTATTTTAATTTAACTCAACACTCTCCAAAAACACAAACGTAATCTTTGCTATCCCGTGTCACACTAGCCACAAACCAGTGTTTCCCAAAGTGGGGCCCACGCCCCACAGGGGGCAATTGGATTGCTAAGGAGGGCAATTCGAAAATGGACTTGTCCAGAGTTTAAGTTAACCGTATAGCTGCTGTATATGTTAGGGAGACATAAGAATTTTAAAAAGGCTTAGGTGGGGCATAGCACAAAAAAGGTTGGGAAACACTGCACTAAACTATTGTGGCGGTTGGCTATATTTTTGTAAATATTAATTTTAGTTTAGTTTCGTTTCTTCTTTCTACACTTTGTTCTATTGTTCTACTTTCTTCTAGAACTTTCTTATCTATTCCCTGTCCCTTGGGTGGGATGAGCAGTTCCTAGAAATTTGAGGAGCAAAGGTGTAAACAGGAGCCGGAGAAAAAAGAGAAGTGATGTAGCAGGTCATTTGTAAACCGGACGGCAGAGTGTACGGATGAGGTGAAAATACTGGGAGTCGTATTTTTAATGACCGGATAGTTCGGAAATAAGTTCAGAAAAAAGATCCTGTTTTAAGGTCTTTTTGACGACTGTGGAAGGAAAAAATCCTAATTATTGAAGAAGAGAACTGGCCAGTTATAGGAGAAGGACGTGTGTTATCCCACCCAACAGTACTCATAAAGAAACAAGCCGAAAAAAGGGACAAAACCCCAGATATCCCTATTTCTATCTTATCTACCATTTTTTCTGTCTTCTTAATTCTATCCCTTTTTCTGTTATTAGTGTTAAGTAAGTGTTTAAGATTAGTTTTAAGGTTCCGGGTTATATTGTCGTGATCGGGATCTGTATTGTACACGTGCTTTGGATACAGCGAACTATTATTATCGCTGTAATTTCACCTGCTACTGTTTGTATCGTGAAGTTGGAATCCCCCGAAAGAGAATCTGTATAAAGACGCGAAATAGCTTAATTGGAAAATTATATCAATTTTTGTTACTTTATCCTGTCTGCCTTTGTGGTGAATTCTAATTTAGCACACTTTTACACCATAAACAAAAACATGTCGCGTTATTAACGCAAAGTGTCAAATATCGGTCCAAGGTCACACGCACCGGCGCCGACTGAGTACGAAAGTTGAGATCCGCATCTATATCCGTATCCGCGGATATACATTTTTAATGATCCGGCACATCACTAATTACTATACATCCAAAATTTGCTGAAATAAAAATTTTAAAAATGTTTTCAGACTTCTGTTTATCCTGGCAGGGTCTTGGAGTCACTCATTTTTCTGAAGTATCCTTACTTTTCAAGTCATTTTTTCACTTTTCTCACGTTTTTTGGTCATTTTCATATGCTTAATTAGGAAGATGTGGGACCAATCAAAAATGCTTTTAAAGCCAGACGATTTGCTGAATTGTCAAATTTTCTGAAAGAAAATACTTGGCCTGAGTAGGACTCAAAACTGCAACTTCTGCTCAGTGTTGTTAAGTTATAGGAAACAAAAATCCCTTTTACCTACAGGGTCCATACAGACCTGAAAAGTCAGGGAATAAGACTTTTTAGCAGAAAAAGTCATGGAGAATTAGGGAACCCGTAAATACCATGGAATCCATCTGTCACTCTTGCTCACTTTTGATCCAAACATGTCTTTAAATTTGGTTCTTATAGTGAGGTTTACAATAACTGGAGTGACCAAACAAATGAAAAATTTGTTGCATTTATATATCGTAAACTATAAATGATAGCCTCACAATTTAAATATTGTTGGATAGAAGTTTTAGGTCCGTATTTAAAATGGTTGGAAGTGTGCAACTGTGTGGAAAGGGGTAGCAGTTGTGTGTGAAAATGAAAATGGCAATGCAGTGCAGCGTTTGGGCAGTAAAACTTTGGATGGCAAAGAGATAGAACGTTGAAATCAGTGTCAATTTGTACAGAACAACAGAATCTATAATATTACTTAGCAATAATAACCTCTAAAATAGAATTTGTAAAGTTATAAGCCAATAGCTGTTCAAGATGAAGAAAATTTTCCTAATGTCAAAGAAATTGAAAAGGAAATACGAACAGTAATGTAAGAAACATATATCATTGGGAAAAAAAATTGAAAAGGAATAAGAAAAGCCCAAAATGACTAATGCCGAACCATGCAGATTGTATAAAGAGCATAAGAAAACCCAGCGTGTAAACTCCGACTGAATGTTTGGCATGCGCTGCCATCCAAACTGATAGATATTGACTTGGAATGTGATAACCAGAAAGACTTTATTTGTTTACACTTTATCCTTCTTCTAATAATACAAAGACTGATTCACACCTTAACAATTGCAATTGTGTCCTATACACAACCCTCCCAATTTTTTTGACCTGCACATCTAATTAGTTCTCCCTCTGGCAGAGTGTGCAATTTCTTCTATTTAAATTATTTTGAATTTTCTGCCTTCTTGCTTTAAGAAAATTTGATTTTTATAATGCAAATCTTTTTCTTATTTAAATAAAATTTACAAATTTAATTTAAATTAAATCAAGAACTTATTTATATGATGTAGAAATGACATAGCAATTACGTAATCGATTTTACACAAAGTTTTTTGTTTTTTGTAAGTGAATAAAGCATTTTTAATAAAGAATTTTATATAATTGTATACAAAATGAGTTTAAATAGGCTTGGCCGAATATTACATAATGGAAAGGGGAAATGCAAAGATGTTAATAAGTTAGTGAATAATGTCATAATTGGTCAGGGAATGTTGGAATAAAAGATGGACTTATCTGTATGGACCCTGCACATATGTAAAAAAAATCCTTTATGAACTTAAAAAAATTTCTCTCATTACAAATTCAGAAGCCAATGTTGAGTAAAGTTATATACTCATGCCATATTGTCATTATTAGCCTTAATCAAGTTTTTCAGAATTGTATTTCCTTCTACGGAGATAAAAAATGAGTATTCTAAGCATCCCTATGTTTTGGCTGTTTTCTAAAAAAATCCCTAAAATTTCTTTGCAGGTGAAAATGCCCTATGCCGAGGGATTAATTTATCAAGCTGACAATACTGCTGCTGCTTCTAAATTTAAATTAATATACAGTGAAATTCTGTTAATTGCCAGTTTTTTGTAGAGAGAAAAACGCTTTTTTGTTACTTCATATGTTGCTTTTTGTTCATTCAAAAAACTGGCATTTGGTATGCTGGCAAACCCTGTAAGCCGGTAGGTTCAGCTCTGCTTTGCTACACGAAAATTCAAATTTTCCTTTCTTTCTGACTTATGGAGAACTAATGATTTCTCAACTCTAAAACATTTACTAAAAATGAAGTAGAATTAGAATTAAAAAGGCTAAAAAAGCAAACCAGTTTTTTGTAGGGAGAAAAACACTTTTTGTTACTTCATATTTATCCCCAAATGCATTTCGCCACTGCACTGGCCTCTTCAGTAAGGCTTACACAATATAATTTAAATTGCCAGCTATGATAACAATCCATTAATAGTTTCTCACTCCGCGAATACAACTTATATACCTGACAAGATTTACCCAGCATTCCACTGATGGGGAGGAGAATGTGAAAGGGTGGAACAAACTTCTATGCGCACATTATACTAAGTTTGGCAGGAAGACCTTTCTTTGGCAGTATATGGCCTTCTATGGCAGGTTAAACCTTCCATCAACTGCTGCCCGGAATGGTGGGAAAATTCCCTTTTTTATTGGGACCTCTGCTCAATAGCATCTAAGGTACACACAGGATATGTAACGAGTGCACAGCAGGTAAACTGACTTATCTTCATATGACAGAGATAAGCTGATTTGAAAAAGGAATTTTAACTTCCCTTTTCTTTGAATATGTTGAAAGTTACATCCTTTTGGGTGAATAATAATCAAAGAAATAAATTATTTTGTTATAATATTTTATAACAATTAACCTATAAATTCCTAACGCTCACACTGAGGATACTTTGCAGGACGAGTAGCAGCTACTTCAATTTGAGCAAGTTGAGTGTGATTTGACAGACTCAACAGATGAGAGAATTGATTATTATTGGAATCAGTATTTTAACTTTGTTGACTCCCTTGGGAATACAAGATATCCCATTGTAGCCAAATTGGTGAAATCAGCATTGACCCTCTCATGGCAGTCATGAGGAACAGGGATTTTCAATTTCACATCAGGCACTTTCTCCTGATAGAGCATCAATGTCAGAAAGAATGCTTAATTCACTTTTGATTGTTAAGGAGGGACTAAACATGTATGACAAAGCCCATATCTTGTACTATTACGAAGGATCTACTGAAATTAACTGCTTCAGCATATAGAAATTATCAAGAACAATTGGAAAATGAAAAGAAGTTAAAAGAAGAGAAACAGAAAAAAGAGCAGAAGAGGAGGCACAGAAATGTTTTGAGGAACGTCAAAAGAAAGCTGTTCGTAACAAGGAAAAGATTATGGCATTGCAGCAGAGTTTAAAACAGAAAAAAGTAGAAGAAAGTGAAATACATGAGACAGGCCAAGTTTTGTTAGAAGCAGCAAACAAAAAAATGGAGAAGGCCATTAACTGGAGAACATGAATGAAATATGGGCAGCACATATCATGCTTGTTAGTGTTAAAAGTGTTCAAAAGCAAGAGGAAGCAAAAAAGAAGGAAGCTGAAAACATCCAGAAAAATCTTAATAAAAGAACATCATCTTTCATGACTGATTATTTACAGAAGCCAAAGACTTATTAAGTATTTATGGTTAACTGGAAATATTAAAATATATACAGAAAGTTTTAAAATGTATTTAACCATAACAGTAAAAAAAAACAACCTTTACTGCTATTTTGCTTAGTTTTCCTTCCGTGTTTTCACTTTGTTTTGTCACTTTTTGCTCACTTTTTGCTCACTTTTTCTGTATTTCAACTCACTTTTTTCACTTTTTCAGAGGGAAAATGGCACTCTGAGGCCTGCCCTGGTTTTATTTTTGTGTTATTTTAAAAACAACACAACAAAAACAATCTATATGAAAAGTTAAGATGAAAACATGGAATATATAGGCAAGTTTTATTATGTTTTGTTTTATATAAAATCACATAACAGCATATGTAAACAGCATAACATATATGTGTTATGCCATATGCATTGCATAAGCAAACCGAGTGAATAGTCTTAGTCTTGTATTTTTTCAAATATTTAAAATCTCTAAGCTGAATAATAAATATCTCATAATTATTTTTAAATATGTTTTTCAGAACTCCAAGATTCATACATCCAAACATTAGAATACATTTTAGAGAGTACCAGTTTCATTACCAAGATTTTTGATAAATATTGTAGAAATAAAGTATGTAATCAAGAATGCATTTCGTTTTTATACTTTTATCTGAAGATTTCATGGAAAATTATTCCATTGTCAAAATTCACAAATAATTATATTGCTTTGTTCATAATATTATCAGTATTTATCTTGCAAACATTTGTTTAACAATTAGTAGCACAGTAAGCAGCAGTTGTGGGTTTGAGTCCCACTCAGGGCCGATCTTTTCTTCCAGACTATTCTAAAATTTAAATTAAATTAACTAATTACTTAATTTATTATTATATTTAGCAAGAGTTGGCAGCTTTGGCAGCCAGCATCCTGCCACATTGCTAGGGATTATTTAGCCTTATAACCTGATTAAAAAAATTAGCTGCTTATTTGATACAGTAGAGCCTCGATTATCCGGCCCCCAATTAACGACACCTCGGTTAACTGACCGTCCTAGTCGGCAAATTTCAAATGTCCACTAGTGATGTGGCGCTACAATACTTGGCTATGTCTTGGCTACTTTAATATTATTTTTACATGTTTTAGCTGGCAACACTCATTCGACCATGAAAGGGAGCCAGTATTTAAACGAGGCTTAATTTTCTAATTTTTAATGATACAATAGTGACGATTATTATTTTAAACAATTTTTGTTAGGCTTAACATCAATGAAAATTCAACGCGAAGTAGATTAATAGCGATATACTAATATACTAATTACATGGGATATAATAATATACTACACTAATTACATGGGATATAATAATATACTACACTAATAATGGATTTTTTCATACTTTTCGGTTATCCGACTTTTCAATTATCCGACCAACTGCAGTCCCCAATTGAGTCGAATAATCGAGGCTCTACTGTATTTAAATAGTTAGTTCTATAATATTTCTGGAATTCCGAAATTTTTGGATTGTTTGTTATACCGTATTTTCACAGATTGACCATTGTGCTGCATGTAACCAAGAAAAACTAGCATGCCATAAATCCTGAGTTTACCAGCATGCCTGTTAAACTGTCTAAAAAATAAAATTAACAGATCTAACTAACAAAACTATTTGTTAAATAAATGTTAAAGAATACATTCTTACAGGGTACAACAAGAAATTCTTTATTGTGATATCATCACAATACCAGGCTGCAATTTTTAATTATATTTTTAATAATTTTTTAATTTAAAATCTATAAGCTCTCCACCTCAAATTAGTAGTGTCTTGCCCCTGTATATCATACTTTTCTGTTAGCAATAGAGTCATGCTGGTCATCTATCTAACACCTTTCAGGGGAAAATTTTTGAATTGAAATAATGTCACTTTTGGTTTGGACCAGAAGTTCTTATATAGTTAATTGGGGACTCCTGCCCCTAATCTTTCCATATCTGGTCATCTATCTAATTCCATTCTTGAGATTAAGGAATGACAGGGAATTTATAGGTCTACAATTTTTTCAAATTGCAGCCCAGTAAAATAATAACTTTGTAATGAAGAGAGTTTTTGTTTACAGGGCAATAAAACAATTAGTAGCTTATTGATTTTAGTAGTAGTAATATTAGTGTGGGCTGTGTTTACAGTCTATTCTGACTTTGAAACATAACACCTTTTTCTCAAATTTCACAAAGTGGATGTTAATAGATCTAAATTAAGATAATTTATAGTGAGTTTATGAAATTTGATATATTTATTTTTAGTATTTTAGATCAAGTTACAATAAAATAAACAGTAAAAATAATCACTTTTGGCATTCCATAAGTATTTTACAGCAATAGAAAGAAGACAAAATGCAGAAATTAAACATATAATTGTAGTTTTTGATGTAATGCTGACAGTTTTACAATTTTAGAATAAAAACTGACATCTATGAAATTCCATGCGACATAGCTCATTTATTTTTTTCACACTTTCTCTGGAGAGAATTATAACCTTACTTAAACTGATATGCAGGCATCAATGTTTTCTCTAAGCTGCGCAGCTGCGCGGTCGCGCACTGCTCAAATTGTTGCTGCGCACGAGAATTTATGTGCCACGCAGGCGAGCATGCACACCTATTTGAATTGTTGTTTACTTATTTCTCACTCTGTCTGCAACATGATTATTGCTGCGTATATTTCAATTAAATACATTAAGTCATTGACAAAAGATAATATTTCGTATAAAAGTATGTTTTAAAGTGAATTTTAATCTCTACTTTATAATTAATTATTTTAATTTTTATAGGAAAAAATAAGATTTTATATATATGCTCAGAAAAATTTTTTGCTCAGAGAAGTATATGTTCCGCTCATCTACAAAAAAAATTAGAGGGAACATTGCTTGTCACATATTTGCAATAGACGAGGGNGATATGTGGAAAAAATTTAACATTTTAAAGTATCTTGTGATTGAAACTTCTTAAAAATAAATTGTTTATTACATCAAAGTTAGTATATTCAAGCTGCACAATGAAGAATGTAATAGTGAGGATGAATACGTTGTATATCTTGAAAAATAATAATAAATTGACATGCTAAATGCTAAAATGAATGGGATACTACATATATATAATCTTTAATAATAATAATAATTTTTAACAGATTTAATAAGTGGTAATTATCCTTTTTTTGGTATAATATGTAAATATTAAACATTGGAAATTCATGACAACCAATTTCGCCAACATACTATAAAGGGGATATCTTAAGATTTAAATTTAAGTTTCTTCATGCATTATTAAAATTTTAAGACTTAAAAAAAATTTAGGTCTATTTATTTATTTTCAAGTACACTTTTGATAAATCTTATAATTATTTTAAACTGCTCAACACATTGGATATAAAATATTTACAGAATAAAACAGTATTAAATTACACTTTTATAATTTCAGCAAACTATTTTAATTCGCAAACATTTTCGACTTTATTTAAAGGCCATCCAGTTGCCTATTAAAAGATGTATAAAATTAAGAGATACAAATATAAGAAATAATTATATATAAATATATCACAAAAATAATATTAACTAATTTATATTGGTATTGCTTTTGTTTTTTCGTAAAAATGTTGTTAAACTTTTTCCATTCTTACTCATTCTGTAATTTATCACTGCCTGTCAAGTTGCTTTGTAGATTTCTAAAGCTTCTAGAGCCCTGATGGGTCAGTTTGCCAGGATTGTTTGATTTTGAACAATTTAGAATGTTGTTGATCTGAAACAGATCTTGTGTAAGATTGAAAATGTTTGTAGAATTTACATTAAATTATTTACTGGATTGTCAAGGCTTTGATTGGTGAAAATTGATAGAAAATACAACAAAGAATATGTCTAAACAAGAGTGCTTCATGCTTTTAGTTTTGGTTGCCTAATACCAAGAATACTGTGAAATTTTTTTTTTCTGTAATTATTCAGGATATATTTCTTGATAATTGAAGGTCAGACTATTTACAAAAATATCAAATTTTCGAATCTATCTTAATCCTTTTTAATAAACCTTTTTTTAAAAAAGGTTTATTAAAAAAGCTTCAGGCCCTCTGGTGGTAGTTATGAGTTATCCTTACTTAATTTGCATTAAAGTTTAAATGTTTAAGTAATTAAAGTCTGGCCTTCAATTATGAAGAAATATATCCTGAGTAATTACAGAAATTGTATCAATATGCAAATTAAGTAAGGATAACTCATAACTATCACCAGAGGGCCTGAAGCAGTTAAAAAATGAATAAGGACAATGTGGTGAGAAGAATTCTTCATGTTTTTAATGTAAAGTGTCAGAACCTATAANTTTAATATTTGAGAAGAATTTCTTGCATTTCTACTATTTCCTGTTATATTATTATGTAAGATTTTGCTTAAGAATGAATTATGGTAAATCTGATGTATATTTTTGACAATAAAATGAAAGCATTTAAATGAAAACGTAAACAACTGAGTTGATCAGATTAATATGCATATGTAGTAGATATTTTTTAATCTTCATGAAAAAAATTAACAATATTACTTGTTAAAGTTACTGTTGAATTTTAATAATATTTTTGAAGGTTTATTTACTTATATGACAAATCTGTGTTAATAATTTGACTAATTTTTTTTTTTTTTTTAAATCTTTATTTTGAATTAGTAGACAGTATCATTTTTGCCATAGCTTTTTTTTTAGAATAAGATGCCCTTTAGGAAATAATGACATTGATTCTGTTTAATAAAATATGAAAGACTTTTCTGGATATTACCATCATAATTATAAAATGGAACCAGATTAAAATGTGTGTTTAGTTTGTTGGGAAAAAGAAAGTCAGCATTTTAATTATATTTAATCTACTTAACTTTCACATCATCTAATGCAGTATCCACTAGCATTTTCATTATTCCTCCTCAAGTTTTTGAAGTATTTTTTTCAGTCTTGTCTAGGTTCCATTTCTCATTGCTCCTGCTCAAAATTTAATTTTAACTTTCTCTTCTATCAATATTGAATAAACTCCCAATTTTTCACATAGTTTTTTTTTTGTCCTCCTTGTTTCTCAGTTTATTGTAAAATGTAATGTTAACCTTAAATGCTATCGCGGTTTGTCGCACTTTTCAGAGTTTCATAAAAGCTTGGACTCCAAGAGTCAACATAATGTATTGAAACTATTCTTGTATTGGAGAGATGGGGGAAAAAAGAAGATACATTTATATATTTTTTAAATTACAAGGATGACTCTACATCAAAGACTTCAATGATTATACACTTTAGTCTTTGATACTAATAACAAAAATATATTTATTGTTTTTTAAGTTTCAGTCCCAATACCCCAATATTAACAGAAACAAAAGGATAATTTCCATATAATTTGTATAGAATATAATGTTATATAATTTCAGTTATCCTTAATGCATTAAGCATCCCAATAGAAAGGCATAAAATATCACACTGGGCCAGTACAGATTCTAATGTATAGTGTGTGTTGTGTTTTGTGCAACACACAACCCGGGTAAATTGCTGGGTATGTTGCTTATTTACAGCACATTGTGCTGTGTTAAATCATAACTTAGCAGTGAGTGTATAAAAATTTCATGCATGCATTCATACATACGAGGTATATGTGCTACATGATGCAGTATATATTTCTACTTGCTGTTAAAAATTTTAACACCATAGGACAGTACTATTTTTTATTTTTATATAAATTATTTTTTGGTATATGATGATGATTATTAATTTAATAGTTTTAACAAAATATGCTCTTAAATCAATACACTGTAAGAACAAATTTCTGAAAAAACTAGTTGGTCATATAATGCAAAATTTATTTTTCTTAATCTATTCTCAATTCTATAAATCTTCCATAATAATACTGAATCATTATAATAGTGATTAAAACAAAACACCAATAAAAAAATTTTTTTATGATAAAACAATATGATAAATTATTTGTAGTAGNCGCGGGAAAGTAGTTCGGCTGCCCGATGATGTTTTACGTAATTGTAGGAGTTTTTTACGGGTTTTTACGGATACCGTCGCAATTTTTTCGCAGTTTTATAGGAATCGTAATTATAGGGGGATCTACTGTACAATTACAGTAGAAACTCAATAATTCATCACTTGATAATTTGTCATAATTATGATTAGATAATTTGTCATTCTATAATTTATCACTTTGAAAAGGAGTTATTTATAGACATTTTTAGACAATCTTTTATTAACAGTGGTTGGGAAAGCTAAGAAATCAAGAGCTCAAAAAAATTTTAATAAAAAATTATTGCCTGTTGATTATTATGCCCAAAAAATGCATGGATGGATCAAAAAATTTTTACAGACTAGTTTTGTAATGTGTTTGTAGTTCAGATGAAATCATATCTTAAATCTAAAAATATATCAGAAAAAGTGCTTTTAATTATGGACAATGTCCCAGCTCATCCATTGAATGACTTAGAAGTTGATAAAAATATAAAATGCATTTTTTTTTCCCTTCTGACACAACCTCTCTGATTCATATGATGGATCAGGGAGTGATTGAAAATTTGAAGCATTGCTACTGGAAAATCTTTGTTCAACATTTTATTTCTTGTGATATGGGTACGAATTTGGACAAATTTTGGAAACAATACAACTATTAAATATGTAATTTTCAACATTGCTGGAGCATGGAATAATGTTCCAATGAAACATTGTCTCAAAGTTGGAAAAAAATTTGGTTATCAGATGCACTTCATGAAAGTAACAGCAATGAAAACAAACAATTGCTGGATGATGTTTCTCAAATGTGTAACAACACTTTTCAAATAGAACAGGGTGATGTAAATGGCTGGCTAAATGTGGATAGCTCAGATTTGGGATACAAAATTTTGAACAACAGTGAAATAATAGAATGAGTAACGAACAAGAACATAAACAATGAAGTAGATAAAGATGATGATGATGATGAAGATGACATATCCAATTCTCAACATTTTAGTTGCAAAGAAGTTGAAGAAATGTTATTGAAATGCATCAAATGGTATGAACAGCAAAATGAAGCAGAAATTCCAAACTTAATTGCAATGTGGCATATGCACAACTTAGCAGTCATGAAGGGACACAAAAAGATAATTCATAAAAGAAAAAAACACTGTAAGCTGAACAACACCTTAAATACTTTTTTCAGCACGACTTTGATTTATTTAAATGAATGTTTTTGACTTCTTTTCATAAGTCTGTATCAGGTTTAAGAAAAAGATTTGAACTTTAAGTTTAAATAAATGTTAGAACTACTGATGTTCTAACATTTTGAACAAGTTTGAATCTTCTTGTTAAACCTGATGCAGACTTATGAAAAGAAGTTGAAAATGTTTGTTTAAATAAATCATTCTTGCTAAAAAAAGTATTTAAGGTGTTGTTCAAGCAAAAAAATAGCTTAAAAAATTATGCAGTTTTTTAAAATGTAATACGTACACACTCTTAGCACCCAGTAAGGTATTTTTTTAAGTTATATTCTTAGCTTTGATAAAAATGTTTACCAAAAGTTTTTGTAAAAAATACATTATAAGTTTTATGTTAATTAAACTTATTATGTGTTATATTAATTAAAACTACAGAAGTATTTCAAAATGTGTTTTAACTATTGTTCCTAGAATTTTCTATAATTTGTCAATTTCTGTAATTCAACATTCCTTCAGTCCCAGATGTGAGAAATTATAGAATTTCTATTGTATTTATAATTTTTTGCCCTCTTTTTATTTTTAGACCAGTTCATTAACACCTAATCTCAAACTGAGGGTATAAACAGTAGTTTTGAGGAGTTTAGAGAAAATTATGTGAGAAAAAATTTCTGCAGAGTGCTTTTTTTCCATTTTCAAGTTGATACTATGGCAACCACCAGAAATGTTCTGTTCAAACTCATATATGTGTGGTATCTGAAGATAGGTTTTTGTATCTTTTGTAATACTTGAATTTTTTCATTGTTTAGATTTCATTGAAATAGTCTGAAATAAAATACTATTCAATATTATAATATTAATTTTGGACTATTGGTTTTTTAGGTTCATACAGGTGTTCATGGATTTGTTTTTAATGAATATGGTACTCCATTGTCAAATGCAACAATTCAAGTTGAAGGTATAAATCATGATGTGATTACTGCTCAGGATGGTGATTATTGGCGCCTCTTAGCACCTGGAACATATACTTTGAAAGCTAAACATTTTGGGTAAGTTATATTTAAATTTGATTTGAAAAGAACTATGTAAAGTTAAAAGTTGGTTAATGGGACTGGTTAATTTATAAAATACTTTTATAAGAAATATTTTAAAAAATAATCTTAAAACATTTACAAAAGTTAAATTCTCATTTAAGGATGATTTTTAGAGGTTAAGCATTTAAATTACACTACACAGTCAAAAGAAATAGATTTTATTCTGATACTTTTAAAAAAATACGTGCAAATAACATTTTGCCTAGATTACTTCAGTGGAAGTACAGGGTAATGTGACAGGAAAACAACAAAGTATAGCACAAAGCCAATCATTCTGATCACTTGCATTATCCATATGAGTGTAAAGACAACAAAGAGATTAATTATCTAGACATTACAGTAAAAAGACTAAATGAATGTTTTCAAATTCATAAGTTTGAAAATGTTTGCAATGGAAAATAAACAATATAGTTTAAGTCTTATTGCCCTATAACTACCAAAGAAAATTCAAATTGGAACTAAGAAAGATACTCATAAGAACAATATATAATGAAGATATAGAACAGGAAATTGAACACCTATACGAGAAGTATTTACCAGTGGATATCCAGTAATGCTGATAAGAAATTAGTATGATAAATATATGACCAATAGTTTGAGAATCTGGAGACATGAAACAAAACTTTTTGTAATTTTTACCCTATTCTAACTATTGCATTGAATCCCCTGAAATTGTTGGCAGTAAGGGGATCGATCATACCACCTAAGTTGATACATTGAACAAAATAAGGCAGGAACATAATCAAAGGGATAAAAACATAGATGCTTTGTCTAAATTTTATGTTCTTATTTAAGGAGACTGAAAAATCATGAAATTTTCCATATCTATCTGAAATTTAGAATTTACTTGAATTATTTAACATATTAAGAAATTTAATTAGAGAAATAAAACATAAAACTTTGTTACTTTTGAAATGAATAGAAAGAGGAAAGTAGAACTTCCTTTCTGTTTGTCAACTTCCTGTGGCAAGATCTGTTATCTCACATATTGATAATACATCTAGCGCAGTATGTTTCATCCCTCAGATCTTGTCACATGTGTAACAATTTAACACCCAATTGGAGGAGATTCGGGAATAAAATGGGTAAACATCCCGTTTTTGAGGCTCTCCTTGAAGTTCCCTTCATCTAGATGAGAGAGACTGGAGATGAGGAGAACTGATGAGGCCTCCCTCATCAGTTCTCCTCATCTCCAGTCTCTCTCATCTCTCATCAAGAGTCCCGTCTCGGTCTGCTAGAGTTTATTAGACATAGATATACTTTAATCTCTTTTGTATTTAACCTACACTATATTTTACTCATTAGACTTTTTGTTATCTGTTAACCTGGTTTTGATTTGGATTTGTTTTGATGCTGATCATCCTACCAATGGACCTATGATCCCTCCCCATTCGAACGTATATCTATAGATAGTTTATTTGCAAGTTAGGGTGTGAATTAATTTGAACCCTAACTGGTGTTACAAGCCTGATGTCAAAAGGATCTTACGATTCCGAAGACAAATAAAATATATAGCCATCCACCAACAACTTGAGCGGGCCCAACCATCCCAACTGTAATAGGTGAAAGAAATTATAGATTCTTCCCCGCAGATTCTCGCAATAGATATAAAATTAAAAACAAGTTAGAAGTTAAACAATATGTTTTTTTCCATATATGAAATGAATTTTTGAAAAATATAAAAGAATATTTAATAATTCATTAATTATGCTTGTACCATGTCAAATAAATAGATTATTGAAATTAATGATAGATGATTGGGAAAAAATGGAAAAACTTAAATTATTAGTAGTATTTGGTTGATCACATTATCAGCATTGGCGTAGCCAGAGTTTTGTTATGGGGGGCTTAGTAGAGGCCAACCTGACAAATAATTGAATTATTTCAAATTATTGTTCATTAAAATGAAATTTCCATAAGAATCGACAATAACTTAACACACATAAAATATGAAACTTCCTTTAATCATACATTCTCGTAACATTAATATCAAACTCTAGCAATGCCTTAAACAAAAATTAACCAACCAATTATTCTTTTTTACCATTCTTTAATATAGTTCACTGTCTTTAATCTGGATATAGACCAGGGATGGCCAACAGTTTTTTCCTCCGGGCTGAATTGGAAAGAAAACTTTTTCACTGCTCGAACCAGAGGTGGCCCTAGCAAGATTTTCAGGTGATGCGAGATCTTATTGTGGCATCACCCCGTAGAGAGACTATATTGTACATAGAGATTACAGATACACTTTTCACATTGCACACAGAAAGCTGTTGACCTTTTTTTTCCTCTCTCTTATTGGGGTCAGAATTTCTCAACTTTCCTACAACTTCACATTGTGAGGATATAAGGAATTATTGCGGATCCATTCAAGCAATTATTTGAAGTTAAGTCCAATATTCAGAGATTAATTGCGGGCTACATAAATTCATTAAGCAGGCCATATGTTGGCTATGCCTGATCTAGAGTTTCAGTGGGTACACTACACCCAATTAAATTAGCTTCAGCTTTTTATTTCTTTTTGCAAATTGGCTCAACACTTTTTTGGCTGTAATTTTCTGGGGAGGACACCAGGTTAACTGGGGGGGCCGTGCCCATCCATGCCCCTTCCTGGCTACGCCCATGATTATCAGTACAAGATAATGTGATCAACCAAAGTACTATTATATTGGAGAGATGAAGCATCCATTAGAAAAAAGATTGGCAGAACACTTGGCAGAGATACAGCTTAAAGACAAAAATTCACATGGTATCAGCACTGTGAGGAAAATATGTGTAATAGATAAAAATATTAAAATACTATATAAAGAAAATAACATTATAAAGTGGATAATCAAAGAACATTATACAATTACAGGGGTGCACAACCTGCGGCCCGCGGGCCACATAAGGCCCCCTATCAATGTTTATGCGGCCCGCGGACGGTACAGGCCAAATCCCTTCTTTCGAAGTTTCTAAGTTTAGAACTTTTTCCCTTTCACAAAGTCATTAGCACCCAACTGTTTTATGACTTTCCCTGAGGTGAGAAATGGGGGATTGTTCTATAAATAAGTCTATTTCTAGCTAACACTTTCTGGTTTAGATATCGAATATTTTAAAATGATGTTAGAACGTCATTTCCGATGTTATCGGGAAGTTTCTATTTTGGCGGAAAATCTTCAATTTTATGCTTCGGAAAACTTGCCTATTCGTCTAAATAGCGTCAAATAACAAAAATAAGTGAAAATAGCGCTGAAAAACCATGAAAATAACGATTTTTTAGCATTTGTTTACATTCTAGATTCTGATTGGTATAGTCGAATTTGAATCAATCTTTTCTGAAAAGACGCTTATTCGTCAACCTAATGTCATTCAAACTAGAAAAAAACTAACCAGAGTTCAAAAAGGAATGTACAAAAAGCTATAAAACCAATAATTTACAACAATATCTCTCCATAGACAAAGAATAGAAAAAAAATTTTTCACATCAAATTTATTATTATTAAGTTGGACCAAGAAAATTAATACTGTAGTTGGAATAGAGTCATTACGACTAAAAGGAAGCCATTTGCATTAAAATATTTTGGATTTAATAATTATTACAAACCGCGTCAAGCCATAAACTTGTCAACAAAGAGGGTTGTAAAATGATTCCGTGTAGCTAGAAAGCTGCGGTTTTTTTTGTTTGAAAGAAAACAGATATATTTAGGTTATTTAAGTAGTAAATTAATTGGAACTTTTTATTTACTTTTATTTTTACATTCTTTTTTTCGTAAATTTAAAATTAAATTATTATTTTTAATTTTTATTTTATTTGAAATTTAACAGTCGTAAACTGTGATATATTTATGACAGAAAACAAAAAACAAATTGATTCTAGCGCCAATTTGAAACGAGATATCGCAATTTTAATAATTATATTTAAAATATTCAGATTTTCCACTGCACTGTGTTAATCACTTTTGATTCATTTCTGAACACGGGGGTAAAACTGACGGGCCATAAATATAATTTAGGTAAGAATGGTAACCACATTTATGATGGATTAGTGTCCTGCACCTGGCATGTTGACGATCTGACTCACAAATTCTGAGAAATGGTGGAGACGCCCGGACAGGGGTCGAACGAATTAAGACCTGCCTGGCCACGTGTGCGTAATAGTCTTCTGTCCCTGCCTCTTTAGTCTTTGGTCAGAGTGGATACAGAACAAAGCACGTGGTAGTCTAGCTTGCCTTATCTCAAACATGATTTGTTGCGGGCCTCAGAATTTTCGGCACAATGAGACATTGTTTTGCAGAGTGAACAGTATGGCGCCGGGCATTAAACGCAAGGTCAATCGCGAGAATCATCAGTTTCAAGAAGTGGAAGTGTGGACTAACAAGTACTGTTTTGTGCAACAGAACAACAGCATTATTTGCCTTTTGTGCAATGGAACAATAGCAGTGCCAAAAGAATTCAACCTGAAGCGACATCATGAAAGCCAACACAAGGATTTCCTTCTGCAAGGTACGGAACGCAAACGGAAAATCGAATCGTTACGACGATCACTAATCAGCCAACAAAATGTGTTCAAGAAACAATCTGGAGAATTGGATATGGCTGTTGAAGCCAGCCTAGAAATATCTGCTTTAATAGCCAAGAATGGGAAACCTTTCACAGATGGCGATATGATAAAAAAGTGTCTTATCATCGTAAGTGAGATGTGTCCTGAGAAGACAGTGTTTTCAAACAATCAGTCTTAACCACATGACGATACAACAAAGAATCTCGCAAATTGCATCAGACATCGCATTAATCACTTGGAGGTTCGGCCCCCAGTCAATAAACTTAATCCTAATTTGGCCCTTCTTCAAAAAAGGTTGTGCATCCCTGCAATTAGTAGGTATAAAATTAATGTTAATTTAAATAATTATATTAGTAATTAATGCATGTTAGGATAGGATTACATTGAACATAAATACATCTTCATTCAATTGAATTGTTATATGGATAATGTCAGTTATCAGAATGATTGGCTTTGTGCTATACCTTCTTGTTTCCTGTCATACCACCCTGCACTCCCACTGAAAAGGCCTAGGCTAAGTAATCTAGGTGAAATGCATTTGGAGATAATTTTTTAAAAGTATCAGAATAAAAACGATAGCTTTCAATTTGATACTTTTGATTGCTGTATAGTGTAACTTAGATGCTTACCTCTAAAAATCAGCATTAAATGAGAAGTTAATTTTTGTAAATGTTTTAAGATTAGTTTTTAAAATATTTCTTATAAAAAATCTTTACAAAAAGTTTGAAAAGAACTATATTTTTTATGATTTATTCTAAATCTATATTTAAAAAAAATTAACAGTAATACAGGTAACCCCCGTATAACATGGCACTTCTATAGCACGGATTCACTGTAACACGGTTTGAGAATTGGGAACATCCCCCGTATAACACGGTGCTTTTATAGCACGAGTTCACTCTAACATGGTTCGGGAATTGGGTAAAACCCACGTACAACATAAAATGTAATAAAGGGTGCATTCTTTTATACCTCCACGAAACTCCACGAGAGCAATCTAATTGTTTTCGTGGCTACTTTGAATGCTCTTTCAACAAATAATCCGTTTAATGGATAAATTATACAATTTGGACCTGTTTTTGTCTCTAAAAGCTCATTTTAGAATTATAGATTCCTCCACACGATACTATTGATAGTGCGGGCGCTGCCATTTTTCTTTCACTGTCATTCCTAAATGCCTACAAACAGCAATCCACTCCCATTGCAGAGCGACCGCTATTAACAAACGCACCCACAAACTGTTACCAGTTGATGATGCTCATGCTGAGATCATCATATAAAATGAATAATCCTCTGGTAAAATATTTACTTAAATAATAAATAAGTATTTTACTTATGTAAAAAAAATGAATAATAAATCTGATTTAAATAAGGATTTAACAGCATGTTTTTTAATTTTTGGAACCTAACCCCCCTTTTTGCACTAGTTCTTTGTTTCATATAACATGGATTCGCAAAACACAGCAATTTTCTGGAATGTAACTCCCGTGTTATATGGGGTTACCTGTATTTACATACTTGAATTAGTTTTTTTTTTAATTTTTTAAGGGAATAACTTGAAGCAAAATATTTCTGATACTTTCATTACTATTATAAAGAAAAAATTCACAATATCACCTTGCCTAATATTCCAAACTATAAAATCCAGCTTGTTTTAGTCTTTAATATATATTAAAGGTTAAAACAAACTAGATATTTTAAAAACAAATATGAATTAACAGTAACAATAATTACAATAGTAAAATAAATTAAATTCAATACAAAACTAAACCTTACTCAAGAAGTCTGTGTATTTTGAGTAATGTTTGAGTTTTATATTTAATTTATTAAATATGATGGAGTTACTTAATAATATATACAGAGATTATTAATATGTTATGAAGAAATGTGAAGTATGATTTTGTTGTATTTCATAATAGGACAGATAGTAAAAGTGTTAAAGTTGAATTTATTATTAATTTTAAATGTTATATATATATTTTTTTTTATATAAAAATTAATTTTGTTTTACTTTCAGATGAGAAAATTTTTGCTAGTTAATTTTATAAATATATGAAATTATTTTGTAATTCCTCATAAAAAATTTGTTTTCAGATTTTCTTCTTGGGAGAAAAAAGTTACCATTATTAAAAATAAGGGAATCCAAGTGAATTTTACAATTGAAACCAATATTCCTTCTTGGTCAAAAAGTAATGACTTTGGAATAACCGAAAATATACAAGAAAAATATCTAGATAATGATGAATTGCATTCTGTTATGAGAACAATTGCAATGGATAATGAAGATATTGTGAGAAGTGTAATTAATAATGGATCTAATAATATAATTGTACACTGCCTTGTATTTTCTTCTCAGGTGTGTTTTAATATTTTGTTTGCAATCATGTTTTCTAAATTGTAATGTAATTGTAACCAATTTTTTGAATCAAGAATACTTGATTGTGTGCGTGTGTGTGTATGCATGTGTGCGTACACTTGAATGTTAGTGCATGTGCAAAAATATTTTTACTTTTTGATAACCATACTGTTAGAAATATAGATGTTATTATGTTTTTGCAATTTTTACAGTTATAGTTTTAAACATTAATTTTAAAAAATTATTATATAAACCTGAAAAAAATTTTCATACATTATTTCAAGAATGAAAATACTATTTAGATTTATTTTAATTTAATTATTTTATCATATGATCTTAATAACTGACAATTGAAAAAGCATTTGAAATTAGATGGCATGATGAAATAATTTATTTTTTTTGAGATGTTATCAATTGTCTTTATTAAAAAACTTCACTAATTCTTTGTATCATTACTAGTCATTTTTATTTCTAATGCAATAAACAGATTTTCTGGAATGATATTTTTTCTTCTGATTGAAAATAACTCTACTTTATTAATAATATATAATAGAAATGTGACTTGTAATTGCCTGGCCAATAAATTGATTGTGGTTGACTGGTCAGTCATAACTAACAAGGCCCATTAAAATGTGAAAAACATTTGTAATTTTCATGAGAATATTAATTTCATATTTTCCACAAAAAAGTTATTTACTTTAACTAGTACTACTACTACACTACTGATTAGTAGCACTGTGATTGCCCTTAGATTTCTGATTACAGCACAATGGAAAATGCATATGCTGATAGTGAACAAGAAATGCAAAGTAGAATATGCTCTTAGTTTAGATCAGAGGTTCCTAAACTTATTCAGCCTACCTCCTTTTCAGAAAAAAATTACTCGGGGCCTCCTTGGAAATCTTTTTTTTTTTAAGTGAGCAAACAGGAATATTTACAAGGAGAGCCTATGGCTTTGGGGTAACGGATTTTGATGATCTTTGGTTTAGAGGTAGTACACCATGTGAGTGTACTACCTGTAAAATTCAAAGGCTCATTAAAATCGCGATAAATTTTTTTAGCGTGGGAAAAAATTTTGAAAAAATTTGGAGACAAAAAACATTCCAAAAATTCAAAAAAAATTTTTTTTCTTTGAATTTTTGGAATGTTTTTTGTTCCCTTAAGGACCGCGTTTTATGTAACGCTATGTAACTTGCCCGAGTTTTCTCGGGTTATGGGCTTAAGTTATCTATATCTATAGTACTATATAAAGAGACAACGTATTTTTTGTTTGTGACCACTAACCATGAAAACTACTGAATCAATCGTTACCAAATTTTAACTGTAGCATCTTTATGACCCCCGGAATGTTTACCACTAATCAAACATGCAGATTTTTTATTAATTAAATAAAACTACAATGGATTTTTCATCTAGGGTTAAGGCTTTTATGTCCAACAGATGGCTTTACGAGTATGACGCCCTAAGTTTGCTTTTCTGTGAGGATAAACTTCTATTCTTCTATCTATCTATATAAATAAAAATGTAATGTTCGTTTGTTCCCACCAATTCCTTTGAAATTTTCACACAACACTGCATTCGAATACATACGTGTTTTTATATAATATTCGTGTCAAAATTCCCCCCACTGGGGGGAGATGAACAGGATTAAGGCTTACCATAAAGAACTCTGCTTCTATTTCTACTATTTTAGATGCGGTTTTTTGTGTTTTTGATTCCGTTTTAATACGGTATGTCAACAGAATATACACTAAAAAGGAATTTTTNACTCTCAAATTTCTTGTCGTGACGCAGATATATTCTTTCTTGATTCCTAGCTGTACATTTTTTTTTGGAATCTTGTAGACCCTTGCTTTTTCTTCTTTTTAATGTTATCTTTATCATTTCTTAAAATTTTATATAAATTCAGAGCTCTTTTCAGAACCATTCTTGACTCCTTTTGGTTCGCAATTTCTTTCATAATGCCTTTCATATTTGTTATTTGTAAACTTTGTGACTTTACTGGGATCATGTTTTGAAGCTTTTGTTGTGTTTTTTCATATCTTCTATTGTGCCTTTTTTGTATCCTAGAGCTTCGGATACTTGTACAATTCTGTTGATCTCATTTGCTCTATTTGCAACACTATCACAATATAGAAAGGCCCTTCTGATTAGAGCTTGGAATGCTGCCAGTTTATAATGATATGGATCATTTGGTTGTGAGGGCATGTAAAGTGGGCTTTGCGTTGGTTTGACGTAAACACTGGTGGATAAATGCCCTGTTTTGGTAAAGTCACAAAGTTTACATACAAGTAACCCCCATATAACACGGCACTTCTATAGCACAGATTCATTCTAACATGGTTCATGAATTGGGAACATTCCCCGTATAACACAGTGCTTTTATAGCTTGGGTTTACTCTAACACGGTTTGGAAATTGGGTAAAACCCTCGTACAACATAAAATGTAATAAAGGGTGCATTCTTTTATACCTCCACGTAACTCCACGAGAGCAATCTAATTGTTTTCGTGGCTACGTTGAATGCTCTTTCAACAAATAATCCGTTTAATGGATAAATTATACAATTTGGACCTGTTTTTGTCTCTAAAAGCTCATTTTAGAATTATAGATTCCTCCACACGATACTATTGATAGTGCGGGCGCTGCCATTTTTCTTTCACTGTCATTCCTAAATGCCTACAAACAGCAATCCACTCCCATTGCAGAGCGACCGCTATTAACAAACGCACCCACAAACTGTTACCAGTTGATGATGCTCATGCTGAGATCATCATATAAAATGAATAATCCTCTGGTAAAATATTTACTTAAATAATAAATAAGTATTTTACTTATGTAAAAAAAATGAATAATAAATCTGATTTAAATAAGGATTTAACAGCATGTTTTTTAATTTTTGGAACCTAACCCCCCTTTTTGCACTAGTTCTTTGTTTCATATAACATGGATTCGCAAAACACAGCAATTTTCTGGAATGTAACTCCCGTGTTATATGGGGTTACCTGTATTTACATACTTGAATTAGTTTTTTTTTTAATTTTTTAAGGGAATAACTTGAAGCAAAATATTTCTGATACTTTCATTACTATTATAAAGAAAAAATTCACAATATCACCTTGCCTAATATTCCAAACTATAAAATCCAGCTTGTTTTAGTCTTTAATATATATTAAAGGTTAAAACAAACTAGATATTTTAAAAACAAATATGAATTAACAGTAACAATAATTACAATAGTAAAATAAATTAAATTCAATACAAAACTAAACCTTACTCAAGAAGTCTGTGTATTTTGAGTAATGTTTGAGTTTTATATTTAATTTATTAAATATGATGGAGTTACTTAATAATATATACAGAGATTATTAAGTTATACAGAGATTATTAATATGTTATGAAGAAATGTGAAGTATGATTTTGTTGTATTTCATAATAGGACAGATAGTAAAAGTGTTAAAGTTGAATTTATTATTAATTTTAAATGTTATATATATATTTTTTTTTATATAAAAATTAATTTTGTTTTACTTTCAGATGAGAAAATTTTTGCTAGTTAATTTTATAAATATATGAAATTATTTTGTAATTCCTCATAAAAAATTTGTTTTCAGATTTTCTTCTTGGGAGAAAAAAGTTACCATTATTAAAAATAAGGGAATCCAAGTGAATTTTACAATTGAAACCAATATTCCTTCTTGGTCAAAAAGTAATGACTTTGGAATAACCGAAAATATACAAGAAAAATATCTAGATAATGATGAATTGCATTCTGTTATGAGAACAATTGCAATGGATAATGAAGATATTGTGAGAAGTGTAATTAATAATGGATCTAATAATATAATTGTACACTGCCTTGTATTTTCTTCTCAGGTGTGTTTTAATATTTTGTTTGCAATCATGTTTTCTAAATTGTAATGTAATTGTAACCAATTTTTTGAATCAAGAATACTTGATTGTGTGCGTGTGTGTGTATGCATGTGTGCGTACACTTGAATGTTAGTGCATGTGCAAAAATATTTTTACTTTTTGATAACCATACTGTTAGAAATATAGATGTTATTATGTTTTTGCAATTTTTACAGTTATAGTTTTAAACATTAATTTTAAAAAATTATTATATAAACCTGAAAAAAATTTTCATACATTATTTCAAGAATGAAAATACTATTTAGATTTATTTTAATTTAATTATTTTATCATATGATCTTAATAACTGACAATTGAAAAAGCATTTGAAATTAGATGGCATGATGAAATAATTTATTTTTTTTGAGATGTTATCAATTGTCTTTATTAAAAAACTTCACTAATTCTTTGTATCATTACTAGTCATTTTTATTTCTAATGCAATAAACAGATTTTCTGGAATGATATTTTTTCTTCTGATTGAAAATAACTCTACTTTATTAATAATATATAATAGAAATGTGACTTGTAATTGCCTGGCCAATAAATTGATTGTGGTTGACTGGTCAGTCATAACTAACAAGGCCCATTAAAATGTGAAAAACATTTGTAATTTTCATGAGAATATTAATTTCATATTTTCCACAAAAAAGTTATTTACTTTAACTAGTACTACTACTACACTACTGATTAGTAGCACTGTGATTGCCCTTAGATTTCTGATTACAGCACAATGGAAAATGCATATGCTGATAGTGAACAAGAAATGCAAAGTAGAATATGCTCTTAGTTTAGATCAGAGGTTCCTAAACTTATTCAGCCTACCTCCTTTTCAGAAAAAAATTACTCGGGGCCTCCTTGGAAATCTTTTTTTTTTTAAGTGAGCAAACAGGAATATTTACAAGGAGAGCCTATGGCTTTGGGGTAACGGATTTTGATGATCTTTGGTTTAGAGGTAGTACACCATGTGAGTGTACTACCTGTAAAATACTAAAGTGCAATACTCAAATATAATCAAGAAAATCAAACTTAAAGTTTTTTAGCACTTTATATATAAATTATACGTACTTTTACTTGAGCGTCCTGTGGCAGAGTGGTAACGAGTCCGATTCATAAGCTTGAGTTCTCGGGTTCGATTCTCGCGTATAATTTTTTTTTTTAATTCATAAATACTTATAATGTATTTATTTATTTACTCATTCATTT